TTTTGCCGCTGAGCTAAATCCCCAGCCCCCATAATTGATTTATTTCTATAGGAAGATTAATAAAAATGTTTTTTTGTGTTCTCAAACTTTAACACAAATTAGAGACTTCCATAGGACTTGTTAACATACTGATTATTGGGCTTTATCCTCAAAGTTTCTGATGTAGGAAGCTTAGGTGGGGCCAGATAATTTGCAGTTGCCCTGAATTTTCAGGATGCTTTTAGAACCATTGGTCTAGCACATAGAATTTTTTAAAGGAACTTCGGCCTATCTTTCAGAATATCACTATTTTTTCCCTCTGACAATAGATTAATTTGATCTATTACTTACCTACACAGAATCCTGTCTTAGAATAATGCAAGAATTTAAAATCCTCATCAGGGACTCAATTAGTGCCAGAAAATTCCAATAGAACGAGAAATAGTTCCTGGAATTTTAATAGCAAAAGGTGACTGTAATAGTAAAAGGTGACATATGAAACACAGCAAGAAATAGTGACTCAAAATGCAAAGTCTAACAATATTTTATTAGTGTAATAATGAATGCAAAGGTTATGTCAGGTATTACTCCAACTTTTAAAACTGAGTATTTTTCTGGGGTGTGCTTGCTAACAATTCAGTATCCTACGAAGATCTTGTGTGTGCATGTATGCCTAAAAAATTGCAAGAGTTGTTTTTTTGTGTGTTAATAGAAGTATAATCAGACAACAGAAAGATTTCCAAAAATGGAAAACATTATCCATGTAAACGCTGAGGAGCTCTCTAGCTGAAAGAACACTCAAGAACGGTCCTGTGTAACGCTGCGCTGATTCCTCACCACTTGCTGTCTCGCTTAACTCATCTATTAGCTACCCTTTTCCACCCTGCACTGTGCCCTGGAACTGATCCTTCCAGCTTACACCCTGTGCGGTTCCTCTCCAGGTTCACGAGAGATGGAAAGAACGCAGGATGCGGAAGACAGAGGAGGGGCACTTCTTGCCGACTGACTCCCTACATCTGCCTCCATTTCTGCGAGTGGCTGGCCCCATTACTGACATCCTCTCTTGGCTACAAATTCTATATCATATTCTCCCTTAATTACTGAGGTCTAGGAGTAAAAAGACTTCCTCGGTGATAGTCTTGACATAGGTCCCTTTATCTTTTCTATATAAATATCCTTTCATTAAATCTGCTCCATTCAAAACATCTGTTAAAATCTTTTCCCTGTCTAAACTCTGAATGAAAAATTCTGCCTCATTTTACCCACCAAAAAACAGAGATCAAGAAAGGTTGGCTGAGTTATATTGGAAACTTTGTATTGTTGTTACTATAACCAGAAGCCAATTACTTAAATTTAGAAGTAAAAATTAATATGCAGATACCACATTCCTTGTGCTTATGGGTTCTATTTTAATAATGAAGGAAACATACAGAAGCTGTCACTATACCTTTAGTAAAAGGCTGAATACATTCAACATTTTGCTGTCAGTGCATTTACTTGTCCTTATTCCTTTGTTAATCATTTTTGACTCAGAGGTCAAAATTTAATGACACACTGGCAAAATGTAAAGGCATTCTGAAAACAAACTTTCAGAAACGCATGACATATGAGAAGATGAAACCTGCCATTCATTTTGGGCAAGGTTGTCCCAATAATTTAACATCTAATTTCTTTGTTCATTGCTACAATGAGCAATGGAGGGAGAAACAGGCACAAAAAGCCAAGGGAAGACAGAAGGGTGTGCAACATTCCCCAGTGCTAGTGAGACAAGGAAGACACGAACAGTACTCATTCTACTCATCCGTAGACAGTTCCAGCCTCCTCTCCTCTACCCGACTCTTAAATATTGGCATTCTTTTCTTTTTTATTTTAAAAATTAAAAAACTGACCAAATGACAATGAAAACAAAATCAAAACAACACAAAAACAATAAAAATGAAATGACTTCAAGACAAAATGATAGATTTACAGTGGTTGCTAAATTCTATACTGTTATCTTCAACAAATTGCTCAGTCCATTAGATATAAGAATGTAAGACTGATAAATCAAAGACTAACAATAAAAATAAGGAAGGAGCAACTAGGATAAAGGAGGGGAGAGGAAAAAGGAAGAAGGAAGAGGGAAAAATATGCATATATACACAGGATAGCTAGGGTAATTGTACTACTAATATCTGTTGGTTTACTGAATGGAACTGTTCATGTGTAGTTGTTTGATCATCTTGCATGCCTATGTCTGGTTGTATTTGCAACCATTTTGAAGATGACATTGTGTAGTATAACAATCATTGTTAATATCCTATCACCGAGTTTTGAAATTCTGTATCATTTTTATTGCTCTCTATGCTGTTTTGCTTATGTATTTGTTTTTGTTATGTTGTTTCCTTTCTTAAATGAAAAACAAAATTTGCATGCATATATAAAGATAGCTGGAATAG